AGCAAGTAAAATAAGAACTAATCAATAGCACAAATTCCTACACATTAATTTCTTGAAGTATTCTTTAGAATTTCTTAGATATATATATAATATGTTTAAAATAACAATCAAACAGTACTTTAAATGTATGGTTTTTAGAACGTAAAAACTGTGAGAAAACATTCTCATCAAATACAATATATGGGATATTTTTTTATGGGAATATATATCTCAAATTGTTATATACACTATATTAAAATTACTTACTACATTTATGAACATAAGCCCAAATACATTTTTTTTTTTGGCCAGCCACAACCACATACATTAAAACACACCATCACATTCATGTTTAAAAGTAAAATAAAGAATTCAACATAAATTAGTTAAAAAAGCAGAGTTCTTTTTTTAATATAAAAAACGCCATCAAAATTGTAAGGAAATAGCCAACAAAAATTTTATAAAAGAATTATGAAAATTAGATTCAATTTTGATTATTTTACCTTGATAACTTTAACAACGTGCTGTAGTTCATCAGTTCAACTTCTCATGTATAAAAAATAATGTTTTGTAAACAAGTGCATCATTTCACATAAACAATAACTAATTTATTTTTCCCTAATTTCGTTCGATTTTCTTAATCTGAAAAAAAAAACGAGAGACAATATATGTACCTTACCATAGTAACTCCAATTTAAATGGGGTTTTGTAAAAGAAGAATAATAAAGGTTTAAGTTGATTACTTGGTGCAATATAACTGATTGTAGATATTGTCTCAGTGTGCGTCTTAGATTTTCCTTTATCTAAAAATTTGGCAACTCCAAAGTCACTCACATGGGCAACCATATTATCATCCAACAAAATGTTACTTGGTTTTAATTCACAATGGACTACCAATGTTGACAAGCCATGATGCAGATATTCTAAAGCAGATGCTACATTTATCATTATATTCAAACTTTGTAGAAGATTCAAATGATAATTATCAAAATATAACCATTTTTCAAGGCTTCCATTGGGAATAAACTCCATTATCAAACACTTCAAATCAGCATTGGAATAACTACTAATGATCTTCATCAAATTACGATGGTGCAAATTATGCATTGCGTCTCATTCTACCTCAAAGCTCTTTGACAATGATTCTGAGTCAAAATTGAATGTTTTAACGGCAACCATTATTCCACTTGAAAGTTTTCCTTTGAACATAGAACCAAAACTTTCCCTTCCAAGTAAGCTACTCTCATTAAATCCATGAGTTGCATCCAAAATTTCAAAATAAGAAATCTTTCTTGGCATTTCTAAAGTAGATAAAACTTTTTTAATGGTATGCCTAGAATTTATTCACTTTTGTTGAAAGAGGACAATGCCTGTAGCAATTAAAGCTGTTGACAAAGCCATTGGCAATACACATTTCAACAAAATCAACTTTTCCTTTGACCTTTTACTTGTTCCTTTATTAGATGGAGGCACTTGCATTTGTTGCTTACCACAAAGTGCTTTATTCATCATGAAAGATTCAAATGTAAATTTTTGAAGACTCTACCACTTGGAATCTCACCTTGTAGTTCATTAAAAGAGAGATTGACATACACGAGGGCTATAAGTGACTCTAGAGATTTAGGAATCTCACCAAACGATTGATTTTGGGAAAGGTCTAACATTTCTAAGCTTAGCATATTCCCAAGTGATTCAGGAATCTTCCCATGCAATTTGTTATGTGCCAATGAGAGAATTTGTAAATTTTGTAAGCCACCTATGGTTGATGGAATGATGCCTGATATAAGATTTCTTGACAAATCCAATGATATAAGTTGTTTTGAATTTACAATCTTGAATGATAGATTCCCAAATAAAATATTGAAAGATAGATTTACTTCCAATATACTAGTTAGATTCCAAAAGGAAGAAGGTATCTTAAAAATTAACTTATTGGAGTCCAAGTAAAGGTTTTGTGAGGACATAAGATTTCCTAAGCAAGGTGGCATTGCTCCAAAAAACTTGTTTTGAGATAAACTGTAATGACCCTAAATTTAAAAAAAAATTAAAATTAAAATTAGTTTTAAAATTTTAGAAAAATCTCGTGTCTTTCCTTGTAATATTCTTGTGCTTTTTCTTGTGGTTTTCACATGCTCCTTTTTATAATTTTTTCTTTTGATCAGAAAACTATTTTTTTTGCGCAAAGAAAACAGAGAATCTCATCTCTCTTTTTTTTCCACCACCAATATGCACTCTTCTAGACATTCATAGTCGGTCTATCTCTGTCTCTTATCTACATCCGTAGCTCGCTGTCACGAGGGGTTGATTTCTCGCTGTTGTGCTTCATCTGCTGTCATCATCTTTATTCAGGTTCGCCAGCCACAGTGAGTTGGTTGCTGATTCTCCTTTATAACATCGTGCTGTTCTGTATGGCCGAGAGGTTTTCTTCGAGTTGTTGTCTTCGTTGCCATCTTCTTCTTCCTCTTCGCTGTCTTGGTTCGCCTCTGTTAGGTGGAAAGGATGAATAGTTTTTGTTGCTATGTTTTGTGCTTAACTGAGGTGCATATTCAGGGATTGAAACCCTTAGCTTTTCTTCTTCGACGCTGTGCAGTGGCTGATTTATGTTTGTTGCCACTGAGCTTTGTTGAGGTAAGATGTTGTGTTCTTTCCTTTCTCTTCGGATTATATAGCCCACCAAATCATTCCTTCTTTTTCCAGCCATTGGGTGTAGTTTTTGTTCTTCATTGTGGTTGTAATATTTTAGTTGAGTATAAGGAGAAAATTTAGTTGATGCTGGGAATGGTTTATAATGATGTTGAGCTGATATTTAACCGTAGAATTTGATATTGGGAGTTGTAGAACTTACTTGGATGTGTTCATTTCATAACTTAATTATTGGAGACTGCCCTCAATGTGTTTGTGGTTATATTAGAAAGAAGATATGGAGGGAAAGAAAGTTGTTGAAATGCATGGGTAATTATCTCATAAATTTGTCAATGATAAATACATGCTCTTACGGTATTTGTAAAAATGTGGGATAAGAAAATTTGGTGAATTGTGAGTTGTTATGATTCGCTTGGAGAAGTATCTATCAGTTTAGTTCAAGTTATTAATTGAAAAATTTAAAACACCAAAATGGGAGAAATGATTATATACAATGCTTGTTTCACATTTTTAGTTTAGAGAAAGCTTAAGAATAATGGATATGGTTTATTATGATTTATGAATGAGTATAAGTCATAAGGAATTATGAGGATAAATGGAAAGTTGTCAAATGATTTAATTGACTTAATTATATTTAAAACATAATTTGTTGGAATATTATTGTTAATATCGTTTAGATCAAACTTTAATGCACAAACAGCGATTGGAAAATTTCTTGATAAATGATTTTAGAATTATGATTCATTTGTTAGGAAATCAGGAACACTATTAGAATTAAAGTGAAAGATTAAGAGGAGCATGTTTTAGAATTTTGAAAAAACTATTAGGTGAGTAGGTAGCGTTCCGAATGAATTTCAAGCAATTGTTTATAAAAATTTCTTTACTTAAATTTTAATGTTATTTCTTTATTAGTTATATAAACATTCTTGTCAATTCTATTTTTTTAATAATTATTTTATTAATGATGATATCTTGATTTTACTAATGATTTATGCTATTGATAAGTAATAATTAAAGTTGATATACAACAAACGGTGTTACTTTTTAAAAATAACCCAATTGTTTAACTTTATGTTTGATATGCAAAGTTTTAGTATAGCAACTCGTGCATGGAGGAAATGACAATGAATATGGGAATGGAAGATAACAACTGAATCTTATATTTTGAAAGCGAAAAATTTGAATTTTTTTTTTTCAACTCTGTACAAGCTTGATTTTAATTAGGGGGACTGAGTTTTGAATGTTGGATGCTAATGACAGTTTTGTTAGCCCTTGGCATGCCATCAAACACCTAACTAGCAGGGTGCTTATGGGAGGTGCTAGCCCCATGCAAAGGCCAATGCACTTAGATTGGAGGGATGGTATTCGTGAGCACTGTAGTTATGCTTGTTTTCATGGGCTTCATGCCTACGCTTGATTCATGGCTCTTGATGCTCTTGTTTCGTGGCTTCCAGTCACGCTTGATTGGTTATTTACCCTCATAGACTGTGTGTCCATGCTTGATTGGTTATTTACCCTTGTGGACTGTGTGTCCACACTTGTTATTTGTTCTCATAAAGCCCTCCTAAGTTTAAGCTAAAAAATTATCATTTCTCTAATAATTCTCTAAAAGTATTTTATCACACTACACTATCATTGGAAAATTTTAGATTTATGGTTAATATAAACTTTTAACATATGTGTGATCTTATTAGCATTGTTTAATCTCAAGATCATATTATTGGGAAAAATCTTTATTTGTTTCTAGCTAAAGGATGTAATTCATTATTTCATTAAGTCATTTGAAGTTAAATTTATTATTTATCATTTTAATATTTTCTTATTTATAATTTTGATTGGAACGCTACTCACCGGTAATTTATTTGATCCTAAATATTATAGCTGACCCTGCACCTCCAGCAAATCATTGAGGGCCTTTTTGTATTTTAGAAAAATAGAGGAGGCATATTGCAATTACTGTTTTGGTAAACTAGGCACTATATTTTGTAATTATAATTTAGTGTTCCATATATACCGTAGTTAGATCTTAATCTTATTTTGTTATTGTAAAAATTGCTGGAATGGAGCTAGTCTTCTTGTTAGCTTGGTTGGCAAGTTTTGTTGTTGTTGTAGAAATTTTAGGAGGTCCAAATTATAGGAGAGACTTTGCCAAAATTTCTACAAAAACTTTACAAACTTTACTATTATATATAACTTGCACATGTCACTATTTTAGCTTAGTTTCTAGTTAGTCAAGGCTTATGGAATGTGCGTTCACTTCATATTCCATACCGATTATACCCTTAGTATTGAGATGTGACATAAATGTAGATAGGCAAGTCTTCTAATTTCACAAAGTTCATCAACAATCAAGCCACGTAGTTCATTGGCTTCAAGATTCAAATCTTGAGGAGCTTGTATGTTGCTAATTGCTTTTGATATTGATCCATTTGAAAATTTTCAGCCAATGATAGTTGGAATAAGTTAGACAAATTCCCAATTTCTGATGGTATGTTACCATTAATCCTACATGAGTCTACAAGTAGCACCTGTAGAGAATTAGACAAGTTTTCAATGGACTTGGGAAGTTTCATATGCAATGGATTCATTGAGAGAATCAAACTGTTCAAATGTCTACAATTTGACAATGAGTTGAAAAAGCCAATTTCAGAATTGGAAGTATCTATACTGGTAAAATTATTATCACTTACTGAAAGGGTTTCTAAGTATCTTAAATGCCCAAGTGTGTTTGGTAAAACCCCTTTAAAATTATTGTCTTCCAATTCTAGAGTGGTTAGCTTAGAAGCATTGGATATAGTATTTGGGATTTTTTGAGAAAGTTTATTGCCCCATAAATAAAGCATTTGTAGATTAGAAAGACCAAATCCAAAATTTGATGGAAGACTTCCTGATAGAGAATTGTTTGAGAGAGACAAGACCTCCAAAGTTGACATGTTGAGAATTTCTGATGGAAGAAACCCTCTCAATTTCTTTTGAGACAATTGTAAAATCTCAAGCTGTTGAAGATTACCAATTTTCATAGGTATTGATCCTAGAATGCAAATATTAATTGAAGTATTAAAGAAAGTTAATATATAAAGAAAATTATATATGTCTAACTACTTAGATTTACCCACTACTTAAACATACAATTTGGACAAATTTGTGATGGATTTAGGCCTTTGCAACAAACTTAGTATGGTAGCCGTCACTAATTTAGTGGTCCCAATTTTGTTATATAATTTCACATTTTTTATGTCTAAAATAAACACTCTTGTAGGTATTTTTTTTAGTAGTGGATGATGAGTTTTTAGCTTGCTGGCTTCAGCTTCTAAAGTTATTTTTGATGTGTACTATTACAAACCTAAATAGTTAGTTACATCATGATTTTAACAATTGGACCAGACCAGCCGGTTGGACGTGAACTAGCTTGTGGTCTAATCTAGCAAAAACCATTAAATCTTATGTGTAGTGAACTGGTAAAAAATTTGTCAACAAATTTGGGGAACAAGAAAAACATGTTGGTTGGTTGATTCACTGGTTTAGACGGGGAGAGATTAGGAGAGAAGTTGAAAATCATGAGGGGAATGAAAATGCATGATTCAAAGAAAAATTATGAAAAGAAGTCATTATACAGTATAAAATATCACATTAAAAGAAAATGATGGTAGTACTTTATATTTTGGTGAAAATGTACCTTTTAAATTATTGCTATCAAGATACAACTGTTGAAGTACAGTCAAGTTTCCAATGCCTCCTTGTATGGGGCCAGATAGCTGACTAACCCTTAGGTTCATCATCTTCAGATTTGCAAGACTTAAAATTTCATTGGGAATATTTCTTGCAAATAGAAAACAATTAACAATGCATCATTGTATGTAAAATGAGCAACACTTAAATTTGTGGTGACGCATACTTTCTATGTTATTTGAAGTTATTTTATGTTTTAAAGTTAGTGGCCTAAATGAAAATAAGATTATATATGTCTAAAGCATGATTAGATTTATATATTCAAAAGATGAGCAAACATTTAAAATCATCAATAAAATTATGGTATATAGATATATATTGTTCTTTGTTTTAAAAACAATTTAGTCTATATTAGCCTAGTTTTTATTTTTTGTATTTTGATGAATTATATTTCTTGATAAATTAACAAGTTCAATAAGGGGCAGCGGTTTTTTTTTTAACTTTTCATAAAAAAATTTAACTTTTAAATAATAAGAAGCTTGTTTAAATGATAAGAAAGGATAAATCGCATTAATTATATATGGTTTTGAATTGCGACGTACCAATCCCAAAGTATAATGTGCAGTTGAAATATATTTTTAATTAAGAAATTTAAGTTGGTGAATATTTGATATAGTCTGTTAAATTTGTAGTGCAAGTTGTGAAAGCCGTAGGTCATAATCTAAATAATAAAATAAAATAATTGTCAATTTTCCAATTCCTTGAGTATATGTATATATTCACTATACCTGTTTAAGGTTAATTAATGCTCAGAAACTTAGTATCATCGTCTGTGTTTATAAATTTTGGATTTGAGAGAATCTCTATTGTAAAGAAATAATTCCTTTTGCAATGTGGCTAAAAAAAAAAGTTACTCTATTTTGATTGCTCATGCATAAAATATCATATTAACAGAAATTAAGCAGAACTAGCCTTTAATTTGATAAAAGTATTTATATACCTTCTAAGTTATTGTTGTCCAGAAATAACTCTTGAAGCCGAGTAAACTTGCCAATGCCTCTTGGTATATGACCAGACAACTGATTAGCACTTACGTAAATGCAACTCAAATTTGTAAGATTGCTTATTTCATTCTGAATATTTCCTGCAATATTACAACACAATAAAATCACAATGCTGTGAATTTTGTTGCATAAAATTAAACATCCTAATTCCAGACCTCTCATTCCCACAATTTTACTTTTATTTTTTGGAAGCAAATTTGATATAGTCTGTTGAGTTTACACAAACACACAAATGCACATGGTTTAATAATTTTGCAAAGAAGAATTTTAATTTAAAAACATAAAATATAATGAACTCCTATAAATTTATTTTATGATTTTTAAGAATCCTTGTAAAAAGAAGTTATGAAATTAAAGTTGGAGATTTAATTTGGGGTCCATTTGTTTGATCTTCCTTTTATGAGATGATCACCTATTTTATAAAAAAATTATTTTGTGAAATTTTATTATATTTGTTTAAACTTTTGAAAATAATCAAAATCTAAAAAAGACATAGTTCTAAGTTCGGACTATTTTGAAAAGCTACTTTGAATAGTTTTTGAAAAGGAAAAATTTTATATACTTAACTTTATATGTTATCATGCTTGTTTCTAATTAAAACAGAATATGCATATCAATTATAGATTATTTATTCTATAATAATTTTTTATTAATATTATTTACACATTAAATTCCACTTGTTTTGAGTTGATTGGATGCAAGTACTATACATTAAGTATATAAGGCTAAGTACCCAAGTCTTTCCCTTTTAAAATAACTAAATAATAATTTTTTTATGAATAGAGATCCATGAAAATATCATAAAATATAAAAATAACTAAATAATATTAAATTTTCATTACTATAGCCAAACATAAAATAATTTATGCTTTTTATAAAGTCTCTACAACATATATCTCTTTTTTTAAAAAAAAAAATCTAAACGATATAAAACTCACTGATTTTTCAATCATAAATAAATGGGTCCTTGATTTATTTTGTAGTGTAGACTTATGAAAATATATCGTCTCCTAAATAAAACCATCGAAATCATCAACTTGACATATATTTGAAGGGATGCTTCTCCAAAAATTATGGTCACTCAAAAAAGTTGCTTCTAATGATTCTCATTAAAAAATAAAGGAAAAATTATGTATAGGTCTCATAGAGCAGATTTATTTATAAATAAGTCCCGCAAAAATTGAAAATTATAGATAGGTCCCTTGAGACTTGAGTATAATTTGAAACTAAGGTGCAAAGGCAATAATATCCCGATTAAAAGTACATTACATCAATCAAGTATTTTACAATAACATCATCAGTAATTTGCAAATATCACTTTAACTTTTTACAACTATAATTTCACACATCCAATAATTAAACTAATCATGTGTTACAAGTTTAATATTAATTGTATACAATTACCTCATCAATAATTTACAACTATTACATCAACATTACACATCTATAACTTCACAAATCTATACGTTACTAACAAAGTTTAATATTAATTGTTTGAAACTATTTCATCAATAATTCACAACTATTACTTTAATTTTTTACAACTATAACTTCACACATCCAATAATTAAACTAATCATGTATTACAGGTAAAGGTAGTATTATCAATGCATCTTGACCTAGCTGTAGTTTCTAAATTACGTGTGACTTATTTGTAAATAAGTATGCTCCATAGGACCTAAACATGATTGTCCCAAAAAGAAGAGCAAGCAACAGTAAAAAAAAATTATGATTCGTTAACAATGTACCTTGGAGGCTATTTCTTGCAAGATATAAATTTTCAAGCATGAACAAATTTCCGATGCTTGGTATTTGCCCTGACAACTTATTCATACCCATGTACATATTTTTCAGATTTGTAAGCTTATTAATTTCTTTGGGAATTTGTCCTGCAATATGGCCAAAAAATAACCTTGTACTTTTTTCGTGAGTGCTTACATAAAAAATAGTATTCGACGAAAGAGTAAGGCATATAATTCTGGGAATACATTATTGTTATACCTCATACATGTATTCAATAATTTGATCTCTAGTCAATATTACCAACCAGATAATATACAGATATGCATAAATCAACTTATGACAATTGAAAAGTACAAAAGGAATTCCATAAATCATAGCGTAAAAGAAAGTGCCTCGCCTAAATAAGAGAATCCCAATAACATTTATTAAATTGTGTACTTGAACAAAAATATCTTTTGTCAGAGAGAACTCATTAAAAGTATAATTTTTTAAGAATAGTCAAATTTGTTCTGGGGATGATAGCTTAATTATAGCGGTATAGTTAATCTGTTTCATGCAATTGTAAAATGTTTGAAAATTTTCAGTTCAAGGACTAACTTTGAAAAGACATAGTAAATAGCAAGCCCCCAGTTAGATTGACATCACATATATTACTGATATAAACTATTACAAAAAAAATGATAAATTCATCAATTTTGAAATAGAACAAATATTTATATCATCACATATATATCATACAAGACATACCTTCTAAGAAGTTGAGAGACAAAGAAAGGTGTTCAAGTGATGATAAGTTAGAGATAGTTGGAGGTATGCTTCCTAAAAGCATGTTTCTGGAAATGCATAAAACTTTCAGGTGTTGAAGTCTTCCAATATCCAATGGAATAGATCCGTTGATAGAATTAGACTTCAAATCCAAGGTCTCCAACTTAAACAAATTGCATATGCTTGGAGGAATGAGACCTCCAAAACTATTATTGCCAAACTCAAGAGTTGAAGCATAAACAAGCTTCCAATCCAAGTTGGAATTTCTCCACTAAGTGCATTATAACTCAAGTTTAGAATTTCCAATTTGCACAATGGAAGCAACTCTTTTCGCAGCCCATGATGAAACTTGTTGCTTTGTAGTTCAAGTTTTTCTAGGAAGGACAGATCTCCAATTTGTGATGGTAAGGTGCCCTCAAGACCCATCATAGGAAGACTCAAGATTCTCATTTTCTCATTGTTAGAATCACATGTGACTCCAAACCAGTTACAAAAGGAAGATGATGAGTTGGACCAATTTTTCAAGTGACTATACAGGTCCCTAATAGAAGATTTGAAAGCAAGAAGTGTCAATCCATCGAGAGTAAAATTGGAATGAAAGATGGGCAAACCATGAGACAGAGCATGGAGAAAATGGAGGAGGAGAAATGAAAGCAAAGATTTCCCATGTTGGATAGGCATAAAGCTTCTTAGGATGAAGAGAAAGGAGAAGAAAGCTTCACTATATATAATCTTTGAGAGTGATTAGCTGACCAGCTTGGTAAAAAGAGTGAGGATAATAATGTAATTAATTGTTATAACCTATAGTAGCTAATTATAATGAACAAAATAGTCTGCAAAAGCTTGTTTGAAATGGAAAAGAAAGGTGGAGTGACTTTTTATAATCACAATTGAAAGTCTCTGTTTTTTTTTTTTTCTTAGTGGCTTAACAAGGAGAAGAAAGCTTTGATCAACATTGAAATAAGAGTAATGACATTGGTGAATTTACTTGACCAATATTAGTCTAAAATAGCCAATTATAATGAACAAAATAATATGCAAAAGCTATTTTGCAACGGAGAAAAATATAGATGTTAGAATATTGGGGAATTTTCTTGACCCAAAACCTTAAAAGGTAGAGCCCATTCAAATTTTCCTATTATAAAATTAGCACCGTTGATTTAATGCTAATAAATGTTGCAAACTTCAACCGTATGCCTATGAAAAATGTTAATCATAAGGAAAGATCAAATATGAAATGGATTATTGTTAAAATAAAAACTTAGAATTGTTTTTTTTTTTTGTGATGACTTGTTAATGATCCTTATTTGATAATAACATTGTTCACAGGTCCTTAGAAGCGATTCTCTCTATTCTTTTTATTAATTACACTTGAGATAAGTTGGCCCTTAATTAGTATTGAATCCAAAATTTAAAACAAATTATAAAAAAAAAAGCCTATCAAAAGCTTGACTTAGAAATTTTACCCAAAAAAAAAGCTTGACTTGGATGTGTCATAAAAAAAAAAAAAGTTTGACTTAGTCAACTGAGAAATTAATAAGAAGATAACTTGTGGAGAAACAGAAAGGCAGTTGTGAGCTACATTCATCAATGAGATTTCGCATTAGAAAAGGAGTGGTGGTGGGGTTGCAATAATACTGTTGTTTAGAATTTTTCTTTGAGGTAACCCTATCTCTATTTTAAAATTTATCTTTATCACTGTTCATTGCGGTTGATTACTGTTTGAGAGATCACATCGAGTAATAAAATTATTAGTTTTTCATATTTTTATAAACAAAGTTTATATGGAAATGACACGTAGATCCTAAAATCCAAAAAGATCAACTAACATATAGTTAAATTTATAAAAAATTTAATGAAATATGATTTTGGTGAAGTTGTATATCAATAATTCTCATTCTCATCCATACGTTGTTACCATAATTTTCAAGGTCAAGGGGAAAAAAATGAGAGTTGAAAGCAGCTAATTGTTAGCCTAAAAAAAATTTAAAAAATGAAGAAAAAATGTAAAATATTTAAATTCTTACCCTATATCAAATGTTAGCTTTTTTTTTTTGTCCCGACCATCATAGTTAAATTACTAATAAAGACTTGTTAGAAAATTTAACTTGCACACATTTTTATATTTTAATATACAAATGCTTATTTGTTATGTTTGTAAAAAAGACTTATCATTTCACAAATAGTTAATTGTTAAATTAATAACAATGAGTTGTTAGAAAAATTTAATATGCACTAGTAATGACAAGTCCTTGTTAGTAATTTAACAAGTGATCATTAATGAAATGACAAGTCCCCATGCACTAACTTTGACAATTTCCCTTAATAATTTGACGAGAAAACATAACTTTGGGTCCTTATATTTTGCTCAATTTTTGCTATAAGTCCTTGCAAGATGATCTAGAACACCAAAAAATAGTGTAGGAATCTTGAACACCGAAAAAAAGTGCAGGAACCTATAGCAAAACTAAAGCAAAGTACAAGACCCAAAGTTATATTTTTCCTAATTTGAAAAGTAAATTGTACTAAAATAACAAGTTCGTGGATATTAATTGGTCACCTAAACTCATTTGTTAGTATACCTTGAAGTAATCTATTGTGTGTTAAGTGCGACTTGGATGTAATTCTCCATATTAATTTTTTTAACAAGATATAGTTATTTAATATGCAATCATTTGTTAGATGAGAAGTCTCTTTTACTAACTTTGACAATTTCCCTTAATAATTTAAAAATTAAACTTTTACTGAAAGAACAAGTTCACATAAATTTTTGACAAGTAAACTTTTGATTTAAAAAAAGCAAGTAAATATTTATAAAATGGTGCTTTTTTAATAAATCCCCATCAATACTTTAACTAATGATTATTTATGAAATGACAAGTAATCATTAAACTCTTGATAAGTAGTGGTTGAGAAAATAAAAATAAAGTTGATAATATATACAACTTTGTGCAATATGTAACTTAGAAGTGTTGGTAGCTTAGTGGTTATCAATTCTTTTGGTGACCAAGTGGTTGGGGTTCAAATTCACCCTTGGTCCCCTTGAAAAATTAAATTTAACTGTCATTAGTGTTCGGCAATGGTTGCCTGACCGCCAACTACCGGATGGTGCCGATTTAGTGGTCTAGTGACAATGGGGGTATTTTCAAAAAAAAAAAAAAAACATATGAGGCAGTTTCATTTTTTATGACAAATTTTAATTATATTTACATCCTTTGGTCCTGTAGAACAATTTCATATTCTTTTCATCCTTTCTGTCATTAGTGTTCGGTTGGTTTTTTGTTAATATGTTGATATTGATGGGGTTAATATACATAGGCATTCATAAACTTTAATTGTAAGATCATAGTTGTTTTCTCACCAGCAAATTAGGGTTGGTTTGAAAGAGCGGTCGTCCTTAATTTGATTTTGTCCGTTTATTAAGTATTGCTATTTGATAGATTAATTCAATCTAATATGGTGTTTCTAATTAATAATTACCTATTGATTAAATTAAATAAATTAAAAACATTGAGCATGAAACACATAATCTAGTATTAACAACATGGAAGATAAAGAGTTGATAGCTCCAATTATTTTATAAAATATAATTTTAAATCCAATAGCAAAATATATAAAAGGATAAAATAATAATTTTGCTCTTAAACTATAGACCTAAGAGTATACGAGGCTCTCAACTCATTTTAAATTCATTTTCAACCCTAAACATTTAAAATTGTACAATTAATTGACCATTAGTTGACTGTAAAATTATAGAAAATAACATCAAAAATTACAAAAAATGACCAAAAGAATCACAGAAAAAGGACCCAAAAATTATAAAAACATTACAAAAAGATAAAATTTTTAATTTTTGGTTATTTTATATGATTCTTTTTATTATTTTCTATAATTTTCTAATTAATTAATGGTCAAAGTTAATGGCAAGAGGGAGATTGCCATGGTTTTAAATCTTTAGGAGTGAAAATGAACCAAAAATGAGTTTAAGATTCTAGATACTCTTGGGTGTTGAAGGGCCAAATTGTCATTGTACTCTATATAAGATTAAAAAAAAAAACGTTATTCGAACTATTAAGATGCTTTCATTGATAACTAAACTATTGATGTTGTATGATATTTCAAAATCTTTTACTACTCATTGTCCATTGATGGGTCCAAAGAAATTGATATTTTTTCAATAATTTGAACATATCTTGAGTTCCTTTGAATGATAAAAAAAATATTGTTCAAATTATGTGAATGTATATGTTTTTACATCCATTCATATACTCCTTCGATTCTATTGGGCACCCTCTATAAAGATTATTTGATCCTTAATATAGGGCACACTAAGAGTTATTTATAACTATTTTTCAATTTTATTCCTATTATAAATTTAATTTTATGGCTTATCATATACTATGTATTTCTTTCTTCCTTTTTTTAAATAGGGATAAAGTTGGAATTCTATTCATTTTAAGATAATTTAATTAGTTAACTGTCATTCTTTGATTTAGTGAAGTAGTTAAAAACATCTTATAATAGGAACTAGAAGGAGTTCATTCATGTGGTCAAAAGAAAAAAAAATTCCAATCGACTTTCTTTCTTTATTAGAGGAGAAGTTAAAAATGCCTTATAATAGGAGACTGAAGGGAATATACACTAAAAAAAAAAAGACTTTTGCCAAAAGTTCAAAAGTTGCCACTAAAGGTTTTTAGTGGCAACTTTTTACCACCAAAGAGTTGCCTCCAAAAATCTCGTTGCTAATGGTTTTTGGCAGTGACAAACATAGTCGCCACTAAAAGTATTTTGCCATCAAAAGTTTACCTTGGGTCACTGCTAAAGGTATACTTTTGAGTCTTCATTAAAAGTTATTAGCGACTAGATTTTTTGTGGTAACCTTTTTTTGCCACTAAAATCTTTTAGCGGCGACTTTTGGTGGTGACTTCAAAAGTCATTTTTTTTAAAAAGAAGAATCAGCTTATGCCATCTCACCTGATACCTTGTGCCACATCATCTACCACATGTGCACCTCCTCATGCCACAACACGTGCCACATCACCTTGCCATGCATGTGCCACGTCACATATTCTTCGTGAAATATGCTCAAGTTAGGATTTGAACCCATGACCTCTAACCTTCCAAGCCTTAAGTCCTCCTTTTTACTAGTTAAATTGAAATGCACTACGAAATGATATATATATATATATATATATTATTTAACTACATATACATATATCAAATAATATATTATTAGAAATATATACATATATATTACATTTTATTATCATT